CAGCACTTTGAGAATCACAGCTCTGTTGTTTGCAGGGAGCTACAGAGGCCTAGCATTAGGTTGTAGCCTTGGACTCTTCTTTAGAGTGAGAGGTTCTGGGCAGGGGTCAGCGTTCAGATTCTGAATAGCTGCAGCTAGGGAGGTAGATGTGAACTTGGGAAAGGAGGGCCACAGAGTCCCAGATTGATGCGGGGTGGAGGGGATTAGTCAGAAAGATGGAGTCAGGGGTGAGAGGACATCCAACCTGACGCTGTGCATGTTGGGTATAAGCCCAACACACAAAAAAAGCTTTGGTGGAGGGTCTCTGTCCTTTTCACCGTGGAATAAGCCTGTGGCTTTGGCCGGAAGTGAAGTAGGTGAAATTGGTAGGAGTTGTTCTCGAGGGCTGGGGCTGGTACAGGAGCAGCCAGTTTGAAGAAAGAGAAACAAGAAAGGAAAGGAAAGAAAGAGATAATAGTAAACTGGGTGCCTACACTTGGAAAGCAGAGCTGGGCCAAATTTGGCATTTAAGGTGTTAACTTATAAAATAGTGTGTAGAAATGGCATGCAAATAATGACTTGGGGGATTTGGGTACACACAGACCAGTGCAGTATGTGGTGTGGCAGAGATGTCTGATGGCAGGGTGGCCCCGGTGGGAATCTGTACCTTACTTCTCTCTTCCTTTTCTAAAAGTTACCATTGTCAAATGCTAAGGAACCTTCCACGTTCCGGTTGAGTCAGTCTTTGGGACCCAGGCTCGAATGAGGTCTGAGGTGACCATTTGTTGAATAAAGGAATGCATGGAAGCCTGCGACCATGTGGCTGCTGTAAAGTCAGAGGCACCTGCTCCTGGCCATTCCCTTTGTTTAGTCCTTGGATCTGTGCACAGCACTGGCTCACACAGCAAAGCTTTGGGCATTCCCAGGTTCATATTCAGCTTCTGGTATTCTGAGCCTTTCTTCCCAATACCCCTGACAAGGGATGGGTTTTTTCGTCATCCTTGTTTTCCTGGCTGGCACCTATTCCCCTTGTGTGCCTGCCCTACCAAGTAACTTCTGGGAGTCTTGGAAGAACTGATTCAGCTCTTAAGCAAGTTCAGTCAGCTATTAGTTGGCGCCTATTGTTTTATTTTTCTGCCAGATTATTACTGTGTCTACCAGAAACAAACACAAGTGTATGTTGGATGCCTTCAAGTGCTGAGATGATATCCCAGTATCGTATAGTGTATGTTTCGCCCACCCCAGTTCAGTCTATTCCTTCTTGCAGCCCTTTTTCCCTGAGAACAAACATAGCTGGAAGGTAAAGGAAGCTGAACATACCTGTGCCAGGTTTCTGCTACTAGGCCAGACTCCCTGTACCCTTAGGGTTTGTTTTTACCCAGGAGGCTCTTCGATCCTTTATGCAAATACATTTCTGAGCCTGCCTCAACGGTGATGGTCAGCTTGTGATCCAGCCAGGATAAGCTCCCCTTCCTCCACCATACTGTAATTTCACTGAGAGATGAGTAATTTCAGTCTGAGGGGCTTCGAGGCTACTGATTGGGGGGTGGGCTGCCCTTCCACCTATTGTGACCGCCTTCCCCTGGTTTCGTGGGTCCTGTGGTCCTGCAATAAGCCATGGAGATGAGGTTGTGAGAAATGTGGACTTGATCATTATGGCAGACCTTACTTTAGATAGCTTTGAAAATAACAGGTTTATAGCCCTAGAATCAGGAGGAGATGGCCTAAGATGTACAGCTCTACATTTTGATTTCTTTTCTCTCTTTTTTTTTTGAGATGGAGTTTTGCTGTTGGAGTGCAGTGGCGCGATCTCGGCTCACCGCAACCTCCACCTCCTGGGTTCAAGCGATTCTCATGCCTCAACCTCCTGAGTAGCTGGGATTACAGGCATGAGCCACTATACCTGGCTAATTTTGTATTTTTAGTAGAGAAGGGGTTTCGCCATGTTGGTCAGGCTGGTCTCGAACTCCTGACCTCAGGTGATCCACCTGCCTAGGCCTCTCAAGGTGCTGGGATTGCAGGCGTGAGGCATGATACCTTCTAAGGTATTTGCCAATTCAGGAGGCCGCAGAAGTCCTGAAGACCAGTGCTGGATCACTTGTGATTGTAATGTCATTATTATTACCTCCTAATACGAGAGGGCTACCTATAGTCACTCAGCCTGTAAGTGGCAGGATGGACAGAGTTCAGGTCACTGAAAAGGCCCAATTGCCTCCAGAGGGAATGAACAGGAGGAGGGGCCATGAGGTGGGCCTGGGGAACAGTAGGAGGCTCCCCATGCCCAGCCCTTTGGTGGAGAGCTTTCTGGGAGAACGAGTCCAGATCAGACATAGTCCAGCTCAATGTGGCCCTGCCTGGTGGCATTGTGCGCCCACCTATTTCCTCCTCCCTCCCTGCTCTGCTTGAGGGGCACCCATGGGCTCAGTGCTGTGGCATCTGAAGTGACACAGAGCAGCGTGGAGGTCTGCTCATTCGGCACAGTCGGGGTGAGGCCCGAGGGGGGAAGGTGCATGGCTCACCTGCAGTATGAGTGTGCCTCAGTTCCACAGCTGCTGAGCTGCTCGCTTGCTTGTTCTCCTAAGGCTCAGCAGCGCTTGAGAGAAGCCGGTCAGCCGTTTAAGGAGAGGAAAGAGGCCTTGACTGGCAGCCTGGAGACCTGGGCTGCAGACCTGGATCTGTCACTTTTCAGTTGCTTGAACTTGGTGAAGCCGCTTTACCTGTGGTTTCAGTTTCCTTACTCCTGAAATGATGGGGTTGCTTGAGAGCCTCTCTCTTCAAAGTGTCTCAGGAACCAGTAGCAGCAGCACGGCCTGGGAGCTTGTTAGAAATGTGGAGTCTCAGGCCCCTCCCCAGACCTAATGAATCTGAATCTGTAATTTTTTTTTTTTTTTTTTTGAGACAGGATCTCACTCTGTCACCCGGGTGGAGTGCAGTGGCACAATCATGGCTCACTGCAGCCTCAACTACCCCAGGCTCCAGTGATCCTTCTGCCTCAGCCTCCCAAGTAGCTGGGATTACAGGCATGTGCCACCATGAGTTTCATCATGTTGCCCATGCTGGTTTCAAACTCCTGGACTCAAGTGATCCACCCACATTGGCCTCCCAAAGTGCTGGGATGACAAGCTTGAGCCACAGTGAATGTGCATTTATCAAGATCCTCAAGTGATTTGCATACAGTTGGAGGAGCATGGCTCTGTGGTTTTTAAGATGTAATCCCAGCACTTTGGGAGGCCGAGGCGGGCGGATCACGAGGTCAGGAGTTCGAGACCAGTCTGGCCAACATGGTGAAACCCTGTCTCTACTAAAAATACAAAAATAAGCCGGGCGTGGTGGCGGGCACCTGTAATCCCAGCTACTCAGGAAACTGAGGCAGGATAATCATTTGAAACCAGAAGGCGGAGGTTGCAGTGAGCCAGGATTGTGCCACTGGCCTCCAGCCTGGGTGAAAGAATGAAACTCCTTCTCAAAAACACAAAAACAAAAACAAGATGGTTTCAGGGCTCATGTCCTCTAATTCTATACTGTAAGGAGTCTCTGAGTGGTGTCCTCATACATGCTTAGGTACGGAGCAAGCCTTGCCCTGGAGGGATTGCCCTGCAGTTTCCACATGCACTGTCTAGGTGACCCTGTCAGTTTCACTTCTTAAATGTGGTTGCTGGGTGGTCCACGATAAATTCCAGGAAATCCTCCTCTGTGGGCCTCCCTTTTCTTCCTGCAGGCTAATCTAATGACTAGTAAGTAATCCGTGGGGACTGCGTTTAATTCACCTCTTACTCCTATGATCACAGATTTATTCTATTGTCATCCTGCCAAACAGCATGGCCTCTAATTGGGTTGAACAAAGGCTCTGTATGGAGAACCATCATATATGCATTTAACTTGCAGACTGACAGCCCAAGTGTGGAGAGAGGATGACGTAAACAGTGCGGGAAATTCCCTAGAGTGAGTGTGACATGTAAGGTCGGAATCTGCTGCTCAGCCACTCTCAGCTCCTTCAGTCTCTCTCAGATGTAAACATGCGCTGTGGCCTAAGTGTGATCCTGGTTTTTTAAGATTTGCGTATTTTGAACAATGTGGCTTCTACTCAGTGAAAGCCAATGATTGCATTTGGTACCCAAAGAAAGCAGAAAACGGTTCCACTTCTAGAATTAAAACAAAACAAAACAAAACAACTATGCTGGTCTCATTAAGAGAAGTCATGTGGCCTCCAACAGAATGTCTTCCCAAGGAATTTTTCAGAGTGATTTTGATTATATGTGACTTTTCCTTCCCTGTGAACTTCAGAACCCTAAGTAAGAGGCTCTGGCCCCTCACGGTGTACAGTCAGCTCAGACACAGCAAGAAACTTTGAACTGGGAAGATGGAGAGGATTACAAGTGAAGGTGGTTGGGGGAGATTCTGAGTAGGAAGGAAATTTTTCTTCTTAATTCCAAATGTTCTTTTGTGATAGCTCTTTGGGTTTCTGAGTCCAGCCCAATTCAGAGATACTAGGCTGGTGGCAGAGCATAGAGATGCTAGAAGATTTCATGGTGTCAGGATAACCTGTGCTCTGTCTTTTTTTTTTTTTTTTTTTTGAGGCAGAGTCTCACTCTGTCACCAGGCTGGAGTGCAGTGGCATGATCTCGGCTCACTGCAACCTCGGCCTCCCGGGTTCAAGCGATTCTCCTGCCTCAGCCTCCCAAGTAGCTGGGACTACAGGCGTGCACCACCACGCCCAGCTAATTTTTGTATTTTTAGTAGAGACAGGGTTTCATCATGTCGGTCAGGACCATCTCCACCTCTTGACCTCGTGATCCACCCACCTCGGCCTCCCAAAGTGCTGGGATTACAAGCGTGAGCCACCGTGCCCAGCCTTGCTCTGTCTTCATCACACTGTGTTCTACGTGTTCGTTCCCTGGAGGCACTGTACTGAGTGCAAGATTACAGGATTTGCACCAAGGCAGGTTAAACAAATGGGAAGAGGATATCCTAAAACTAGAAGAACAGTTATGAGATCACGAAGACTCGCAAATACGTCCTGCTACATGAAAACAAAGGCCAAATCTCCTTGTTTATTTAGGTAACCACCTCGTACCATGAAAGATCGGAGGCAGCTTATAAGAGACACATACACTTTAAGGGCGAAATATAAATAAAAAGTACAAAATTAGGCCAGGGGAAATATAAATTAGTGGGGCAGGTCGGGCTCTGGTGGGTCACGAAGCAGAGCACATTTATGTGGTTAGCCTATGAGGCCTGACTCTCAGAGTTGCTGTCCTTGGGCTGGACTCCACCAGCTGTAACTTAAGATAAGAACAGTCCTGCCCTTCAGGTCTCAAATGAAAGACACAAGGACAGCATAGCAGAGGCCTAGCTGGCTTGTCAGAAAAACACGCAGGGGGTTTCAGTTGGCTAAAAGCTCAATATGAGCCATTGCATGGCCAGGCTGTGCAAACAAGTGGAGCTGCACTAATAGTGCAAAGTGTGGCCCCACTGAGGAGGAGAGAGTCCTCCCGCCCACAGCACTGACTGCACGTTCACGTTTGCAATCAACACGTTGGAATATGTCGGCACGTGCCAACTGGTCAGTATCAAAGGGGAGATACAGTGGAACCCTCCAGGAGCTCACACAGTCTGTCCAAAGAGCCAATGAGGAGAAATAGCAACAATCCTGCTTGACATGTGCTTGCAGGAGATCCCATTTGGACTTTGGTGCTTGGGCTTGGTTCTCATCGTTTTTCTACAGGGAAGAAAGTTCTTCTTCACAAGAACTGCAAAGGATGAGTCTTCTGTTTTGGTGTCTAAGCCCCCGGCAGGGCTCCTGCCATAAAAACTTGATAGCTACTGAGGCCCTTCATAAAGAGCTGGGACAGCAGCAGCCATGTCAGATCTGGTGCAGAGATGCTGGGCTTGTGATGGAGCCTGGAACCTGCCAGAAGCCTGGCATCACGGCCGTTCTCGGGCATCCTGGTAAATACTTTGAAAGCCTCAGCATTGCAGCCTCTCGTTCCTCCTGGATGCTGTTAAAGGGTGTACTGTAAAGGGAGGGCATCTCCTTGAATTGATTCTCCTCCATCAGATGGGACCTGTGTTGAACAAAGGAAGATAAAATGGATCAGCCCCCAACCCAAATCCATCAATTTCAAGCCTGTGTGTGTGAAACCAGCATAGTCTTTGGAGTTGCCAGACGTAGGTTTGAATCCTAGAGAGGCCTCTCCATGGCACTGGTACCTTGGGCTAGCCCTGAAACCACACGAGACTCAGCTTCCTTTGCCTGCAAAATGGAAATTTGAATCCCTCTCTCATAGAGTTGTAAGCAATGAATGAGATCATGAAAATAAGTGATTGGCTTAATAAATACCAAGATTCTCATCAAATCTTAGTTTCCTCTCCTTGCCCTTCCTTGCAGGCAAAGCTGATGTCTACCTCTCTCTGTTCTCTGGATTCTGCCTCAACCTCCACCTTGGATGTGATCACAGGTTCATCTTCATCTATCACTTCAGCATCTTCTTTTCCTCTCTGCTGCCTTCCTCTCCTCCACTTACTATCTTGCTCAATGTTCTATATCCTTTCTCTAAAAATTCCCACCTTAGCACGGTTATGCTAGCAGGTGACTGCCCTACCCTGTTAATCTCATCACCAAATACTTTGAAGATGAATCTGCACTCGCTCCTCACCCATCTTCAGCCACCCGATAAGTAGCATCATCTGATTTCTATCCCCACCATTTACTGAGAAAGGCACATTGCCAGGTCTGCCTAGCTGCCTTTCCTTAGGCTTCAGCCTTTTTTTTGGTGGCTTGGAAGCGTTTGATGGTCAGTTCCCCTCACTCTTGATAATATGTCCTTCTTTGTCTTTTTTGCCACTGTCATAACGTCTCTTCCTTATTGTTACTGGGAACTTCCATTTGGGCTCTTCCATCTGCCTTCATTTTCCCGTTCCCCACATGCAGGCATGGCTCAAGGTTCTGACCAGGCTCCTATAGGAAACATACATGGCTAGGCCAGGGGCTATGTCAAATGTTTTCTGTAAAGAGCCAGGTAGTGAATGTCATAGGCTCTGCAGGCCACATGGTCTGTGTTACCTGCCACTCTAGCATGAAACAGCCATAGATAATATGAGAGTGAATGAGTCAGGCTGTGTTCCAATTAAACACTATCTACAAGAACAGGAGGTGGGTCAGACTTGGCCCATAGCTTGTAGTTGCCTACCCCTGGTCTTATGGAAAGAGCATAAACCTGGTTTTATAATCAGATATAGCTGGTTTTACAGTCTGGCTCGATCACTGCCTAGTTCCATTATGTCGGGCAAGTTACTTAACCTCCATACACCTTATTATCCTTACCTGTAAGAGAGGGGAATAATAATAATGATGATGATGATAATACTTTCCTCATGGCCTTGTTGACAGGGTGAAATGGGATAATGTGCAACCCTAGGGCCTGGTTCAGTGAATCTTAGTGTTCTTCTCTCCTTTCTTCCTCTCTCCCTCCCTTCCTTCCCCGGCTCCCTCCCTTCCCTTCCCTCCCTCCCTCCCTCCCTCCCTTCCTTCCTTCCTTCCTTCCTAACTCTCCCAATCCCTTTTCTCTCTACCTCCTCACCCTCTGTAATCTCATCCACATGTTTCTCACCCCTAACCTCTCCCTCCACATCTGATCTTTCTTCTGAGTTTAAAATCTGCACATTCAATGCCAGTTAGGTAGTTCTGCTCATACACCATTTGCATATCAAACTCTGCATGTTCAAAAGAATATGAATCATCGTAAACAAACTCATGCCTTCTTCTGACCCCCCTCATTCCAGGCCCCGGGGGCACTTTCTGAAGTCTTTGACAATGCCACCCCTGACCCACTGTGGAACAGGACGGGCTGTTCTCCACTCATGCAGTCTCTGCTCTTCTCCTCTCCCCTCCATGGCCATCATTTCAGCTTGGGCCCTTTTATTACCTGCCATCTGAGCTTGCTGAATGACCTCGATGTCTTTCAGCTGCTTCTCTCTCATCCATTCTGCACATGATGCTGAGTCACTCTTCTACAGGCAAAGTTTGATCATGCTGCTCTCTGGTATGTAACGCCATTGAAGGCTCCTCCCTCCTCGCCTAGTGTCAGAATCCTCATCTGGTGATCAAAGTCCTGCACAGCCAGCGCTGAAGACCCCGACCCCCAGTCAAATGTGCCTGCTCAGCTTTTCCTGGACACCCTAATTGTTTCATTTCTGCAGTCCTTCCTTTTGCCTGGACTGCCCCTCTCCCCACCACCCACCACTGCTTGTCCCTGTGCCATCTCTGCTTGTCACGTTCTTACCTGTTCCTCAGGAGCCTGGCCAGAACCACACACAGCACACTTCCCCCAGCCAGGAGGTTTCTGTGCCTCCTCTCAGCGTTCAGAGCCCTGGCAAGACTGTGCTTATCTCCCACAGTGCATTTTCCCATGGAAACTTTGTGAAGTTTCATGCACATGCTTTATCTCTTGCCTTAGATTAAAAATCCCTGGAGAGATTAGAGAAACGTTTGCTCCTCCACACAGCCCTGGCACCGTGTCTACGTGGGGCATGACTCGTTGAGCAGGAGAGGAGGGCTTTTTACCAGGCTCACCTTTGAGCTGACTTGGCAGCTCCACTGGCCTCCTCTGTGGGCAGAGGGGAGAGGCTGCCTGTTGGAAAACGTCTAAGTGGAGGAACAAGTTTCAATTTCCAAGGCTCAAGGCTGTGAGCCTTTCATGCCTTTTGGTTTTGGTTGGTGTGGGAGCAGGTGTGTTTGTTTCTGTGTGTGTTTCTGGGTGTGTGTGTGGGAGGTGTGAGTGTGTGGGGAACGTGTTTGTGTGTGCATGAACACATGTGTAGTAGAAGAGGGTGTGTGTATGTGTGTGTGTATGTGTGTGGGGTGTTGGTGCGTGTGTATTCTTCGGGTGTGTCGTCTTGGACACCCTATTAAAAAAGGACAAGAGTCTTCATCTGACTTAGCCTGGGGACTTCCCTTTATCTGCAGGAAATGACCAAGAAGTGGAAAATGGAGAAAGAAAAAATCTGAAAATACAGCAACCAAGTGGTAAAATGAAATGGCATTCTGTCTCTCTCCGAGCACAGTTGGTCTATAAAAGTGAGCCACGGCCGGGCACGGTGGCTCAAGCCTGTAATCCCAGCACTTTGGGAGGCCGAGACAGGCGGATCACGAGGTCAGGAGATCGAGACCATCCTGGCGAACATGGTGAAACCCCGTCTCTACTAAAAAGTACAAAAAAACCCACGCCCACCCTCGCACACGCGCTGCGCCACACCAGTCTCTGCAAACTCCGCCCTCCCAGGTCAACCCCGCACCACTCTCAACCACACCTCCTCATCACCACCCACACCACACACCACACACCCAAACACAACCACCACCACACACCAAACCACCCACCACACACCACCAACACCACCCCAACCAAACAACCACCACACACGCGGCAGCACGCTGGCCGACTACAGGCGCCTGCCACCACCGCCTGGCCTACATCTTTTTGTAATCTTTAGAGGACGGGGTTTCCACCGTGTTACGTCGGATGGTCTCGATCCCCTCTGACCCTCGGATCCGCCCCGCTCGCCTCCCCAAAAGTGCTGGATTACAGGCATGGAGCACACCATGCCGGCAGAAACCACATCTTTAACCTCTCTAAAGGGAATGCAATAATGACTCGCCCAAGGCT